TATCAAATTGAGCTGTGTGCGATGGTGTACACATATAATCCCAATACTGAGCAGGCTGAGAAAAAGATATTTCTACTTTGAAATCAGGTGGAGACTGCCATAAGGAAGGAAAAAAAAAACCAAAAAACACAAAGAGCTGGTGGAATGTCTCATGTGGTAGAGCAATTGCCTAGCAAGTATGAGGCCCTGAGTTCAATTCCCAGTACTGCCAAAAGAAAAAAAATAAAAGCAAACCATACACTTGATGCAGCAACTTATTCTGTGTCAATTTTACTTAAATAAAGCTGTTTTTTAAAATGACAGACTGGGTTCCAGGGAATGTAACTCACTGGCAGAACATTTGTCTGGCACATGCAAGGCTCTGAATTCAATCCCTTGTACTGCCCCACCAAAAAGCCAAAAACATAGATTAGCACCACTTGGCAAATAAATCCCAATGAATTATTTATTTAACTAGACACCAAACATTAACAGCTACAATGACTACAAAAGGGCAACCAAACATTACATGCTTACTTATGAAAGATCCTAAGAGTATCAAATTTAAGTCCAATCAAAAATATGGGTTACTATAGACACGGTGAATTTGATTAAAGTACATTATATGCATGCATGTAACTATCACAATGAAACCTCTCTGTACAATTAATTTATTAATAATTTTTTAATGAATATGGATTATGCTGTCAACAATAAATGCATGGGGCTGTGGGTGTGGCTCAAGCAGTAAAGTGCTTACTTACCAAGAGCAAGGCTCTGAGTTCAAATCCCAATACCACCCAAAATAAATAAATAAATAAATGTAGAGAACACAGTAATAAAACCACATTGTGTGATATTATATGTATTTTTAAAATTTTTTGTCCACAATTCCTGGTTCATAACTATCTCTCATGGCAGGCCATAGAAAATAGAATCTCTCTTCCCCAAGGTGAGACATACAAACTCTAATCTTGCCCTGGCTTTCTCACTTGAAATTGGCCATAAAGAAATTCTTGTACCTACCCTTGACAGATAGTAGGTTATAAGAGCCTCCTCATTCCAGAGCGGTCTTGCCCCATATCCTGGAGAGAAGAAAGCTGCATAGTGGCTAAGTAGAATGCAGAACTAGCCAGGTGCCAGCGGTTCATGCCTATAATCCTAACTACTCCGTAAGCAAAGATCAGGAGGATCAGTTTCAAACCAGCCCAAGCAAAGAGTTTGCAAGACCCTATCTCAAAAAAATCTATCACGTAAAAGGCCTGGTGGGGTAGGTTCAAGGTATAGACTCTGAGTTCAAACACCAGTACTGGGGGGAAAAAAAAAACCAGGAAAAAAGGGCTGGTGGAGTAGCTCAAATGGTAGAATGATTGCATAACAAGCATGAGGACCTTGTCAAGCCCCAGTATCACCAAAAGAGAAAAAAGAAAGCTGAAGCAGACAGGCACTACCGAGTTTCCCTACCCAATCTGTCACATCGCAACAATCAGGCTTCAATCATGCCCATACAATGAAGCCTCCAAACAAAAAGGATAAGGTTCAGACAGCTGAACACATGGAGGTTACTGGAGGGTGATGTGCCAAGAGAGGGCATTGAAGTTCTGAGCCCTTCCCGCAAACTTGGTCCTAATTTATCTCTTCATCTATTACCTTCATAGATGGCATTAAAGTTATTATAAAAAATATTTTTATAATAAATCAGTAAATCTAAATGTTTCCATTTGCTTCTCCATTCTGTGAGCCGCTTGAGCAAATTAATCAGAAGAGGATATAGAAACTGAAGCACAGGTGCAACAACTGGGGATTACAACTGGTATCTAAGGGCATAGGTTGGAGTGGTGACTTGGGGGCTCAGCCCTCAAACTGTGGGACCTAACAGTACCTCCAAGCATACAGTGTAAGAACTGAACTGGATTACAGAATACCCAGCTGGAGTCTGCTGTACACTTAACTGCTTGCTGGCTGGTGCAGAGAAATCCCCATAACTTTTTCTTCCCTTTTGAGTTTGGGTATATAATGCAAGCTGGCCTTGAACTTACAATCATCCTGTCTCAGTCTCCCAAGTGGAAGGATTATAGGCACTCAGCACCACACACCCAGCACCTCACACCTTTGGGGTCATAAAAGTCTTCTCTGTGGATGGTTGTTATGCGAAAATAGACGGAAAATGACTAGTCCGTTTATCCAACACACTTCTCTGTGAATACACTATCAGCAATAGCCAGATTATGGGAAGGTGTACAGGTGCAGAAACTTTTAGAAAAAAGCAAAGGATGAGCTGGGCATGGTATTGTATACCTACAATTCCAGCTAGTCAGGAGGTAGAGAAACAAAGATCTCCAGTTCAAGGCCAGTCTGGACAAAGTTAGTAAGACCCTACCTCAAAACCAAACAAAAGTCTTAACTCAAATTGCTTGAGCTTTAAGAAAAGTGACTACATAGGTGCAAGGACTGGGACACTGGGAGACACAATCCACATTAGTGACATGTAAAGCCTTTTAGAGAATGAAGTGAAAAGAGGCACAAAGAAAGATGGAAATGAGACTTGGCACAAGAGATTGACAAGGTGAAAATAGTCACAAGCACATAAAATCAAAAGAACTTTAAAAAAGCAGAATGTCTGTACAAAGAAACAGGGACCCTAGTCCCTGTGTAGCACAGTGGTAGAAAAACTGCCTAGCACATGCAAGCTCCTAGGTTCAATCCCTAGCACCAAAAAACCAAAACAAACAAAAAAGAAGTAAGCAAGTATTATGCTCTACTTAATGATATGAAAAATAAAATATTTTGGTATCTTTGATTTATCTTGAAATGAATCAAAAAGATAAAAAATACAACCATGAAGAAGAATGAAATCTTATCATTCAAAAGTAAATGAATGGAACTGGAAAACATCATACTGAGCGAGGATAGCAGGGCTGAGAAGACCAAAAAATTGTATGTTCTACCTCATATGCGGACTTTAGATCTAGGGCAAATACAGCAATGTTGTTGGACTTGGGTCACATGACAAGGGGAGAGCACATACAGGAAGTATGGGGATAGCTACAAAAACCCAAAACATGAAAGTGTTTGATGTCCCCACTCCAGAGGAACTAATACAGAATCCTTAAAGCGACAGAGTCTATAGGAGAAGGGGATCAGGAACCAGTGTAAAGATCAGTTAAAGATGAATCAACTTGGGTTGTAACACATTAGTACATGGAAGCAATGCTAGGAAATCTCTCTGTGTAGCTATCCTTAACTCAACTAGCAAAAACACTTTGTCTTTCTTAATTATGCCTATGTCTCCAACAAAATTAGAGATAAGGGCAGAACAGGTTCTGCCTGGAAGCAAGGAGGGGAAAGGATGGGGGCAGGGGCAGGGGGGAGAAATGACCCAAACAATGTAACAATGTACACACATGTGAATAAACGAATAATTAAAAAAAATTTTTAAAGATTAAAAATATTAAGATTAATAAAATTAAATGATGGTTGGCTAAACAAAAGTGATAAAGGAAATATAGCAAAAAGGTGATTGTGAGTATATGCGTGTTCAATATATAACTCTTTCAACTAACTTTTCTTTTTTTTTTTTTGAGATAGGGTGTCACAGAGAGAAAAAAAAAAAAGACAGGGTGTTACTATATAGCCCAGATTGACCTTGAATTTATGATTCTCCTGCCTCAGCCTCCTGAGTTCTGAGATTATAATTGTGCACCACCATGCCCAGCTTCAACTTTTCTTAAAGTTTAATCATTTTCATAATAAAATGTTGAGGGGTAGGAGGCATGAGAAAAGCCCTGAAGGAAGGTCAAAAGAAAATGGGGCAGGGAGCAGGCAAATATTAAACAGGAAATAAAACAGAGAGATGAAGCCAGCCAGAGCTACAAAGTAAGACCATGTCTAAAAAAGCAACAATGGACTGGGCTGTGGCTCAAGTGGTAGAGCACCTGCCTCGCAAGCATGAGGCTCTGAGTTCAAATCCCGGCACTACCCACCACCTCACAAAAAGACTCAATGATTAAAAAAAGAGAGAGAGAAAAAGGGGGTTGGGGTTTGGCTCAAGTGCTACAATGCCTACCTTACAAGTGTAAGGTCATAAATCCAAGCCCCAATATGAAAAAAGGAGATGAAAAAAGAATAAAATCTCAGAAAATGAAATCAACTGTGGACAATCATTCAATCACTCATTCACTGCATAACTACTGTTACAAGAATGTTCCTGTTTCAAGACACTTCAGTCAAAGACACTTCATGTAGTAATGTCAGAGTACAAGACAGACCTTATTTCCAACAAAAGATGTGCAAAAGTACTGGGGTTTGGGGGAAAAACCAATATTGGCTCTAAAAGTATTCATACTTTGTTGTGTGGTGCAACAGATGGAACCCAGGTCCTTGCATATATGCTAGGCAAGTGTCCTAGTCCCAAACTACACCTCCCAACCCAAAGCAAAGATATTTAAACCTGAAAATTGTCCATGCTTTGAAAATGTACACAACTTATAAAAACAAACAAAAACCTTCTCTGACCCTATTGAAATATTCTATAAAATAACAAAAAAGCATTTGAATTAACAACCTAAAGATTTTAAGCTGAAAAATTACTAATTACTATCATGCATTCTAACTAAGCACTAGCTCTACTACTGAGCTGTTTTCATTTTGATCCTGTTTCACCCACACATTTCTAGGCAACTATTTGTTGCCTTGTTCATGTACATGCCAATTACTGATTCAGTCAAAGATTTAGCTCTTTCTGATTAAGAAAAATATATATATTTAGCTCTTTCTGATTAAGAAAAATGACTCAAATATTCTTTTATTTCTCTTCAGTGATACCATTCCTATCAAGGCACAGTAAGGCAAAACTAGCAGCATGTTAATATAAACTTTTTAATCAGAATGTTAATATTTTTTACCTTTGTAAAATATCCTAAGTACCTTTTAGTCAAGAAGAAAATTATTCAATAAGCAATTCAACAAATACTCATATACAAAGCACCAAACATAAATTAAGAGTATAATAGGGAAGTTACCAGGCTGAGCTCTAGAAGTGTCAAGAGGTCTGTACAGCTTGGGGAAAAAAGAGGAAAAAGCAGGATCAACTGGTAATTCCAAGTTAAACAAGATTAATGTACCCTCCCCATAAGTGACATTCACCAAGCCAAAAAAAAAACAGCATTTCTCAATTGCCTTTCTCTGGATCTCTCAGCCATTCACATGGCTAAGTTGCTTTCACAATGAAAATGTGCTGTCAGCTTTTCTAGTAATCTAATTTTTTTTTTGTTTTGTTTTGTTTTTAAGATTTCTTTTTAGTGGTTCTGGGATTTGAACTCAGGGACTCACACTTGCTAGGCAAGCTCTCTACCATTTAGCCACTTTGCAAGCCTCTTTTTGTGCTGAGTAGTTTTGTTTTTAGCAGCAACGGGAACTTGAATTCAGGCCCTCAAACTTGCTACAGTTGCCTGGCTGGTACTCTTAGCACCTGAGCCACTCCACCAGCCCTTGCCTTGGGTATTTTTGAGATGGGGGGGGGTGTCTCATGAACTACTTGCCCAAAGTGGACTTGAACCTTGATCCTCCCAGGTAACTAGGATTACAGGCATGAACCACTGGTGCCCCACCCTTCTGTTTTTATAATTGAATCTGTCATGCAGAAAATTTGGAAAATATAATGGAATGGTGTTTGTTATTTTTAACCATCATTATGCTTATCATCAACAATAAACATTATTAACATGGTTTAGCATTTTTCTTAATGTTCAACAGTTTTGCAATAATTTTTAAATGTTTTCTCAGTTAAAGATAAACCATGCATTTTCCATGACATTTTGCAGAACTTTTTTTTCTTTTTTTCTTTCTTGAAACGGGCTCACTCTGTAGTCCAGGATTGCCTAAAACTTTCTACATTAGGCCAGACATGGTGGTCATCTCTATAATCCCAGCATTAGGGAGGCAGAGGCAAGAGGATCTCCAGTTCAAGGCCAACCTAGGCTACATAGCAAATTTGAAGCCAGTCTGAGGTACAACATGAACCCCTGTCTCAAAAAACAAACAGCAGGGCACTGGTGGCTCATACCTGTAATCCTAGTTACTCAGGAGGCAGAGATCAGGAGGATCAGGGTCTGAGGCCAGCCTAGGCAACTAGTTCCTGAGACCCTATCTCAAATATATCCATCACAAAAAAGGGTTGGCAGAGTGGTACAAGTGTAGAGTGCCTGCCTAGCAAGCATGAGGCCCTGAGTTCAAACCCCAGTACTGGCCAATAAATAAATAAATAAATAAATAAATAAATAAATAAAATCACGTCTATGGTACTTCTAACAAAAATGCATAATCCAATTCATGAGGAAATATCAGACAAATCCAAATTGCAAGACAGTTTACAAAGTAAATGATCCATATTCTTCAATACATCAGGGTCATGAAATTGAGGAACATTTCCACCTTAAGAGAGACTAAAATGGTGATACATGCTTATAATCCTAGCACTCAAAAGACTGAGATAGGAGGATCAAGAATTCTAAGCCATAGGCTGGCAGAGTGGCTCAAGTGGTACAGTCCTGACCTCAACCCCCAGTACCGCCAAAAAACCCAACAAAGATGACAACAAAGACTTTGAGACCACCCTGGCTACATAGTGAGACCCTGTCTCAAAAAACAATATAAAAGGCAAAGCTTGCTGGGTGCCAGTGGCTCACACCTGTATTCCTAGCTACTCAGGGGGCAGAAATCAGGAGGATCTCTGTTCAAAGCCATCCCAGGCAAATAGTTCTCAAGACCCTACCTTGAAAAAACCTATCACCAAAATAAAAGAAAAAGGAGGGGGTGAGCCGCTGGTGGAGTGGCTCAAGGTGTGCCCTGAGTTGAAGCCCTAGGGAAAAAATTAATGAAAGGTTGAGCTCAGTGGTTTACATCTGTAATCCTAGCTATCTGGAAAGCAGAGATCAGGAAGATCCAGTTTGGAGGCTAGTTCAGGAAAAAAGTTTGTAAGACCCCACACCTCAACCAATGAAAAGCTTGTATGGTAGTGTGGATTTGTCATCCCAACTCCATTCCAGCTACATGGGAAGTGTAAATATGAGGATCTAGGTACAAGCTGGGCAGGCCAAAAACATGAGACCCTATTTGGAAAGTAACTAGAAAGAAAACAGGACATGGCTCAAGTAGTAAAGTGCCTGCCTCCCATGCTCAAGGCCCTGAGTTTAACACCTAGTACCAAAAAACAAAGAGATTGAAGAGGCTGCAGGTGTAACTCAGTGGTAGAGCATGTGCTTAAGCACAGAGAGAGGGAGAGAAAGAGAGTGCAGCAGACAGTGAAGAGGATATAGAGACACTTGAAGAACTGACACCTAAATACAATGCAAGATCAAGGACTTGGGCTGGTGGAGTGGCTCAAGTGGTAAATCACCTGCCTAGCAAGCACAAGGGCCTGAGTTCAAGCAAAAAACAACAAAAAATTATAAAAAGCATCTTGTCTGCAACTTATTCTCAAAATGTTCAGAGGAGTGTAGGTCAGTGGTAAAGTATTCACAAAGCTGAGTTCATCCCCAAAACTGCTAAAAAAAGATTTAGGAAAACTGGAAATAATGGAGAAAAGGTTAAAATGCAGTAGAAATATTAACATTCAGGAGATCTAGAAAAAAGGGTTTTCAGTGACTATTTGTACTAACTCACAAATCTTTAAGAGTCTTAAAAACTGTTATTTAAAAGACTGAGATTCAAAAGAGAATCAAAAGCCACCTTAAGAACTGGTGTCTGGTTCAAATGGTAGAGGATCTTTCTAGCAAGTGTAAGGCCCTGAGTTCCAACCCCAGTACCCCCAAAAAGGAAAAAAAAAGAAGCCATTATGGTAGCAGTGCATACTTGTAATTCCTATAATCTAAGCATTTAGGAGGCTGAGACAGGAAGATGGATTTCAAAACCAACCTGGGCTATATGGTAAGACAATGTCTCAAAAGGAAAACAAAACAAACAAACAAAAACAAACTGGAGGTGTGGCTCAAGTGGTAGAACACTTGCCTAGCAAGCACAAGGTCCTGACTTCAAACAGGTGAGGGGGGGGAGAGGGAACACTGTGCACAGAACGGGGGGAGGGAAGACAGCTATATTATATAGTTAGTATAGTGAAGGATCAAAGATCCAAACAACTGCAACTCAGGTTTATACAAATTCAAAAGCACCTTCTGTCAGGGCTATTGCACAGTTCAAACAGCAGAGCACCTGCCACAAGCACAAGGCCATGAGCTCAAACCCCAGGTTCAAAGCCCAAGAGAAAAAAAAAAACCACAAAAAAGCATTGACTTTCAGCAGGCAACTTGATGAGTCATCTCAGAACATTGCTACCACCCAATATTTAGAAGTAAGCAATTAACATCTTACCAAATAAAGCCCTTTTGTTCACAATATAAGGTAACTTCCTCAGAAAATACTTCCTAGTATGGGATTAGTAGATAAATGAACATGAGCAATCTTTTTTGTAGTGCTGGGTCTCAACTAGGGCCTCATGCTGGCTAAGCAAGTGTTCTACCACTGACTTATACCCTCAGACTAACATGAACAATTTCTCTAATCCCCTAATACTGTCTTTTTGAAAAAATTCTCAAAGTACTTTTACAAAAGGAGTATGAAAATCTGAAGATCAGCTGGACATTGTGGTACATACATGCCTGCAGTCCAGCTACTCAGGAATCTACACCAGAAGAGAACCTAGGAATTTAAGGGCAACCTGAGCAACATTTTGAGAACCTATTTCACAAATAACAAAAAGAAAGAACCCTGAAGATCTAGGAATCCTTCCCACTGCTCAATAGGCAGTTTTTTCTCCTAATTAAACAACCTGAGCCATTTCCCCCAAATAGGCCAGGGAAAAATTATTAATGAAAACCCTTTGTGAGGAAAGGAATCCTCCCCCTCCTCCAGTCTGATTCTTTGGAAAATAGCTCAAAGACTGCTTAGGAGGCATGGGATAGGGTACAGTTTTCTTTCCCAACATTTGATTTGCCCATCCTTCAAAAGCTCTCACTTTATTTTTACTGATCTGATTTTCAAAAAATATACTTTGTTTGGCGTTATGCATTTCTCATTATTAGCAGAACCACACAGATGACTACTCTTAAAATATTTCTTCATTAATTAGATACCATTTATGAATAAACCTTTTCTTGAGCACTCATTTATAAAGGAATGACCTAGCCCCAAATCTGCAGTTTTCCAACACTTCAGAGTCTTTCTTGACTGATATATATCAAGCACTGAGTAGCAGAGATGTCTGCCTGTTAATACTAGGAAATTAACAAAAAGAATTTGTTAAATCTGTTTGAATTTAACAAAACAATTTAGTACAATCTACTCACTCAATATCAACAGGGAACTTAGGTATGAATGATTGTAAAAAGCACTTGTAAGAGATGGGGATGTAGGACAGGAGGTGTAGCTCAAGTGGTAAAAGTACATGCCCAGCAAGCATGAGTTCAAACCCCAGTACCACCAAAAAATAAAAATAAAAAAAGATGGGATGTAGCTTATTGGTACATTCAGTAGCACTTGCTACTCCTCCCCCCAAATAAGCACTAGTAATTAACTGTTAATAGTGGCACAATGCCAGGTGCTGGTGGCTCACGCCTGTAATCCTAGCTACTCAGGAGGTAGAGATTAGGAGGATCACTGTTCAAAGCCAGGCTGGGCAAATACTTTGAGAGACCCTATCTCGAAAAACCTTTCACAAAAATAGGAGTGGTGGAGTGGCTCAAGGTGAAGGCCCTGAGTTCAAGCCCCAGTACTGCAAAAAAAAAAAAAAAAAAAAGTGGTACAAACCTATAATACAAACACCCAGAAGGCCAAGGCAGGAGTATCTTGAGTTTGAGGATACCCTGGGCTATACAGCAAGACTCTATCTCAAAAACAAACAACAACAAAAAGCAGTCAAGCCATTAATCTGAAATTAGGATAGACCAGGTAAGGTTTACTTATTCACTTGCATGCTGCCTCTGAAGTTTGCCAATCTAACCAATACCACACAGAATGCCAACTTTGTACCAGATACTGCGCTTAGTGCTTTACTTGGAATTGTCTGACTTCATTTAAAGTAATAGAGCTAGGGGTGTGGCTCAAGTGGTAAAGCATCCACCTAGAAGGTGCGAGATCCTGAGTTCAAACCCCATCCAGTACTACCAAAAATAATAAATGTAAGGGTTGAAGCTTAGTAGTAGAGCACTTGCCTAGCAAATCAGAGACCCTAGGTTCAATTCCCAACACTGAAAAAAAAAAAAAAAAAGAGAGCACTGAAAAAAAAGGGAGAGGGGATATAAGGGGAGAAGACAGCTTAAATTCAGGATTAAATAAATAGTTCTCATGAACAACAGTCAACTGTACTTGCTGAATCAACAATATTAACCTCTGTCCTATTATTTGCAATATACTTTTTAAACACACAAGGTTCAAAATCTTGAGGTTTCCTACAAAGGAGAAACATTAAACCATGTGTTCTCCCTTTAATTTCCTTAATTCTAAACAAGATAAAGTTCCACAAACACTTACCTGTACCACCTGTTTCTGTGGTTGTGTTGCCTGTGTTGCTGAAATCTGTGTTTTTTCCCGAGCACCTCGGCAACGATCATTGCTCACCGACGTCATCATACACCGTATATACAAAATAATGTACAAAATAGAAAATCTGCAAGAAAGTAGGCATAGTAAGAAAAACTTCCAAATCATGTTTAAAAAAAACAAACAAACAAACATATAATTCAGGGAAAAGAAGACACTTAAAATAAAACCTAAGAGTTCTCTGGAACATAAACTTTCAAGAAATAGTCCTTTAGGTTAGTATTAGCACTTTTTTCTTGCTTGCTTGCTTTTTAGGAGAAGGCGGGGATGTTGGGAATGAAATCCAGGGCCTCATGTATGCTAAGTATACACTATACCAGCTGCAGGTACCTCTAAAACTAATTTTACTAATGTAATCTAAAAGTCTATAGTTAAGCCTGGTTTGGTGGCACACAGCTATAATTCCAACACTCAGGAGACTGAGGCAGGAAGATCTCAAGTTCAGGCCAACTGGGCTATAAAACAAGGCCTTGTCTCAAAAATGTAAAAACTAAATTAAAAAAAAAAGTGTCCTGCTAAAATACTCAAAAATACAAAGTTAAAATAGAATGTTTAGGTCTGGGACACAACACAGTAGCTCAGTGAGAGAGAGCTTGCCTAGCATACATAAGGCCTTGGGTCCAATTGCCAACACTGAAAAAAAAAATTTTATTTTTTTTTAATGCATTTAATTTTTAAAATACAAAATTCAGATCATTTTTAATTTTTGGTGTAATGACATAATAAAGGTGAAAAATTCAAATAGGTTAGAGACAAACCCTCAAGTTTCTATCCAAGTCCATTTAAAATATTCCAAAACATTGTCAGGTGTAGAGACATATCTGAACTGTGAGACGAGGAATGAGCATTCAAGGCCAGCCTGACCTACATAATAAGACCTTGTTTCAAAAAACAAACAAAAAAAAAACTAACAACGAAAATTCCAAAACAACAGACTATAGGTTTCTAGGATTATTTTCCTAGTACTTTTTTTTTTACTTCTTGTTCTTTTGAAATGGATCTCAACTATGTTGCCCAGGCAGGCCTGGAACTACTGGGCTCAATCATCTTGCTCAATCTCCCAAGTCGACGGGACTATAGGCACATCAGCACCTTAATGTTATTATATATTACTTTCCTTTGAATTCTTCAGTACTTATATTCAACTTTTTTTTTTTTTCTCTTGGCAGGTCTGGCGCTTGAACTCAGGGTTTCGCACTTGCAAGGCAGGTACTCTACCGCTTGAACCATGCCTCCAGCCTCAACTTGTATTTTAGCTGACCTATTATTTCCTCTTTGACTTTCCTTCCTAAATTTAATTATATAAGACTAGAAATTCATTTTGTTTTGTTTCCTTCCATCAGTAGTTGCCCATACAAGAGACATTTAATAAGCCTGGTGAGCTAAGGACAGTGGCTCACATTTATAATCCTATCTACTCAGGAGGCAAAGATCAGGACGACTGCAGTTCAAAGTCAGCCCCAGATAAATGGTTCTTGAGACCCTATCTCAAAAAAACCCATCACAAAAAAAAGGATGGCATAATGGTTCAACTGGTAGAGCACCAGCCTGCCTAGTAAGCATGAAGCCTCAAGTTCGAACAATAGTCCTGCCAAAAATAAATACATAAATGAGTAAACCTGTTGAAACAACACATAGAAGGTGACAACTCTTATGAAACCCCAACTAACCTAAGAAAGCAAAAATCATAGGTAAGAACTATGATTTCAAACCAGAATCACCTGGAATTCTATTTTGTAGATCACTTATATAAACCTCAAAATATTCACATGATGTACAACAAAACTCCTCTATTTGCAAATCTAATACATTTCAGATTAGATGACATTATACCAAGCATCTCTAAGTATCTCTCAGATCTACTTATCATAAACGAAACTAAAGAGGACTAACCATGATTCATTATACTACGTTGGGTACCACAAAGTAAATTATATCCCTGAAATTTATTTTAGCTAGAAAATGACAAGATTTTTTTTATTAGTTGTTTTATTATTTACTTATTTTCAATAGGCCCTCTGTTAAGGGGGTTCTTGTAAGCCTAAAGTCCACAGGCATACTATTACACTGCCTTTAACAACAACAAATAGCCAATTAACTGCAATAACTCAAGCCCAAAAAGCTATTTTAAAACCTTTTATTATATGTGCAACTGTCTCTCAGTTAATGATAACTGGAGTTTATTATTTCAATTGTGGTACATGAAATATGCTTAACTATTTTGTTATAATATTATATTTACAGCTTTCAGTTAGAGTTTAGAGTTCTCAGGAATAAATGCAAATGAACAAATCCTTCTTTTTTTTTTTAATCATTAACCATTATAAAACTGTAAAGCATATCTGTATTTTTCAGTACTGGGGCTTGAACTCAGGGCCTCACCTTGAGCCACTCCACCAGACCTTTTTGTGATGGGTATTTTCAAAATAGGGTCTCTCAAGCTATTTGCCAAGTCTGGTTTTAAACCAGGATCTTCTTGATCTCTGCCTCCTGGGTAGCTAGGATTAAAGGCATGAAACACCAGCGCCCAGCTCATATTTGTATTTCTCAAGTGAAGGAATCCACTTATTTCTAAAGTCACTTTCGGCATTACTACCTGGTAAGTGAATCTTTTTTTGTTGTTGTTGTTCTGGTTTTTATTTTTGAGGCAGGTTCTTGTACTAGCCTTGAACTCACAATACTCCTGCCTTACCCTCTGAGCGCCGTGTTCCACCATGCCTGGCTTTTTTTTCTATAAATCTATATTAAGAATTTAAAATTAAGCATCCAATCAAAACCTGTAGTGGTGCTCCTAGGATAAACCTTTAAACAAATAAGCAAATTAGTTTGCTTACAGATGCCAAACAGTTCTGCTCATTGAATTGATTTTTTCCCCCATTTTTTTAAACTTTTATCCCTCAATGCTTTGTAAAAATACTCTAAGTACACTAAGTATAACAAAGTGGGAAATTTTCCTTACAGGAGTGCCATCTGGTGATAAAATTCTGCTTCTACAGAGCTTAGCATATACTTACACTAGCTGAATGGGTGCTACAATTGAATATTTTTATTTACAAAAAAGGCTTAATTTCTATACCTTATTACTACTAAACATATTTTGGTGCAGTATACCTGAACCTTCACTTATCGATGAAGAAAATCATAAACTTTGTTATGATTAACAAAATGTTAAATGAATCACTATTCTACCATAATTAGCATACAGCAGTCCATAATGAATTTGTAATTAAGCTATAAAGGTCCCAGTTTCATGATTAAAGCAGGATAATTGATTTGCAAAGAATAAGTACATTGCTTACTTTATGCTTAAGTGTTGTTTGAAAATAATATTTTTCTTCTTTTAATTAAGGCTTAGTGCTCTGTTACATATTCACAATTATCATTACTAGGAAAGGCCTTCAACTTAAAAATTAGCAGACACAGGGCTGACCCGTGGCTCAAGCAGTAAAAGTGCCTGCCTAGCAAGCATGAGGCCGTAAGTTTGAGGCCCTACATTCAAATCTCAGTTCTGCCAAAAAAAAAAAAAAAATAGTAGATACATCCCTTGGAAAAAAAACTTCCCCTGTCTGCCAGCTGGTGGAATGACTCCAGCAGTGAAGAACTCCAGCCTAGCAACCCTGAGGGCCCTGAGTTCAAACCCCAGTGCCACCAAAGAAACAAATAAGCGGGGCGCCAATGGCTCGCACCTGAAATCCTAGCAACTCAGGAGGCAGAAATCAAGAGGATCGCAATTCAAAGCCAGCCTGGGCAAATAGTCCATGAGACCCTATCTCAAAAACACCAAACACAAAAAAGGACTGGTGGAGTGGCTCCTGGTGTAGGCCCTGAGTTCAAACCCCAGTACTACAAAAAAGAGAAAAAAAAAGTCAAGGTCCAGAAGCAGTGGCTTACACTTATAACTCCAGCTACTCAGTAAGCAGAGATAAGGAATATCAAGTTTCGAGAAAGTGGGGAAAGGCAAGCTGGCGAGGCAAGATCTCATTTCAACAAATAAGCCAGACAAGGTTGCTCAATCCCGTGATCTCAGCTACCTGAGAGGAAGGTAGGGGGATAGTGACCTGAGCCCAAAACACAAGACCCTATATGAAAAATAACTAAAGCAAAAACAAAAACAAAAAATTAAAATAATAACAATGGCACTAGAACATGTCCTCAAGGATACTTACATCAACATACTCAAACTAGTTTGTTTTCTATGAATTATGGCCCTCCACACTAACAATGAAACGTCTATAGAACAGCTAACATGTTGTTCATAAAGAATGTCTTAAAAAAATGTCTTAATGATCAAGATGTCCAGCAAAAAATTTTCAGAACTGGTCACAGTGGTGTGCACCTACAGTCCTGGGTACTCAGGGGGATGAGACAGTAGTATTGTTTGAGATCAGGAGTTCAAAGACAGCCTGGGAACATGGAAAGACCCCATGTTTAAAAAAAAAAAAAAAAACCAAAGTCCAGAGGTAGAACTGAGACTGCAGAACAAGAATAGAAAATGTGACTAAAATTCTCTGCAAAGACAAGCTCAGCTAATGGTATTTGATTCAACAAATTTTTCTTATTTTAATTTTATATAAAACTTCTGAAGGTTGGGCTGGTAGACTGGCTCAAAACAGTAAGTGGGCCTGCCTCGCATGCATGAGGCCATGAGTTCAAACTCCAGTGCCAAAAAAAAAAAAAAAAATCTGAATGCAGTCAGTTCATAAATCAAATGAAAAGCACATTAAAGAATCAACATCTTCAACTAATATACTAAATGGTACATGGGGAAATTCTCTGTCCTCTCTTCTGGAAACAGAGCAGTACGTAATAAATAGAACTGTTTCTACAACAAGCACCCCGTTGCCAGATCATAGAAATTCATCTTACACTTGTGTTCTATCCCTTCTATCACACTCTATCCAAGAGCTCTACTGCTCTGGAATAGGCTCCAAGAAAATTCTTAGAATAGAAACAGACAAGAGCAAGTGTCTAAAAATAATCCAACAAAACTCATACATGCATCTCAGGTTCTTGAGTTGCAGGACATACAAGGTTACTCCAATCTATCCAACCAAATTTTAAAACCCA